TAAGCCTCTGGGCCCCACGGGTCCTTTTCTTGTGGCTACTGCTGTGGCCACTGGTCATGGCAGCTCAGCCTCCGGAGTTAGCCCTGGAGCCTGTCTGGCTGACCTCCGAGCCCCCGGGGCCAGATGAGCCCTGGTCTTTGCACCCCTCTGACCTCCCACCCGAATCAGCCCATGTGCTAACCACCCCGGCAGATCCGGGGAGCTTTTATATCCTAGGTTCCACCGCTGCAGCCCCGATGCTGGCTTCACCTCAGGAGTTGGCTGAGACTTGGATTCCTTTCCCGGATGCCATTGGAGACCTTCCCCCAGAGCCAGATCACTTTGCTGGTGGACTCCAGGGTCCTAAGGACAAGGTAACCCAGCACCAAAGGTGGTTCCAGCACTCAGTTGGGATCAGAATCAGGCCCTGACTCTGCCTCCTCCACTTGAGGCTCAGACCGCAGGTCTAGATCAGGCTCACCACACATTGGAAATCCTTGTTCCACCTCTAGGTAGTGAGAGTTCAAAGCCAGCAAAGCTTATTGTTTCACCCCCACACCTGAGCAAGAACTAGATCGGGTTCCACTGCTTGTCAAAGTTGTTGCTGGAACTCCAGGCCAACTGGCAAAAACACCTACCTCAGTGTCTAGAGCAGTTGCAGGATGATGATTTAGATCCCGGTATGGGTGTCATTTATCCTGAGGAGAAGCTCCCTATGTACTTCCTCAGGGGTCCAGATAAATTCTCTGAGCCACCTCAGGAGGCCCCAGCTAGGCCTGCACAGTCCCCTGAAGAGGTTGAACCTCCTTAAGTGCAGTCAGAAGCCCCAGTTCAGCCCATAGAGGCCCCTGAGGAAGGGGAACCATCGCCCACCCCTCAGGAGGCCCCAGCACAGCCTCCAGAGGAGGCCGTAGCTCAACGGTTAGTGCTCCATCAGGGAAGTTTTCCATCTCCCAGTCAGAATAAAGCTCAGCTGTCAAACTGGAGTCTGGTGGTTACCTTAACTCCAAAGATCACTAACGAGGTTGAAATTTCTCCAACCCAGCAGGAAGCCCTGGCTCAGCCTTCACACCTGGAACTTAACGTCACTGAAGATTCCAAATTGGAGGCAAACTTTGACCATTCAGGACGCCCCAACTCAACCTCCAAAGCCACGTGAGGAGGTTGTAGTTCAACCTCCATTCTATAGGGAGGTACAGCTCCAACTGTAGGTCAGGATGAACCTCAACATCCAGTGTCACCCAGCATCAGGGTTCACCCGTTGGACCGTGATGGCCTGACTGTAACTGCAGAACCTACTACGGAGGCTAAGACTTCTACAGCCCTGACCAAGGCTACAGCTCCTTCTCCCAGGCACCTTGAGGTGACACTTCCACATCAAGAGCAGGTTCAGGGGCGGCATCAATTCCTGACTGAAGTAACAGTTCAATCTGTGGACCTGGAAGTTACCGTAACTCAACAACCAGAGTCACCTGAGACACTTCCTCCAACAACTGAACATCTAGAAACATCGAGATATGTAAGCTGTGTACCTGCAAAGATGGGACGCTGTCGTGCACAGGTCTCAGCGCAGAGCAGAAGCTCCGCAGAGTGCCTGTGCTAGAGTCCCCCACCTACAACGGCACCTTCACCATCGTGTAAGAATTCCCTTTCCTCATTTGTTCTCTGCATCCTGCCTGACATGGCAGCCTTTTCCTCAGTGCCTTCCTGGACCTTTCTCGACTCCCCACCCAGGGGACTGACTTTATTTTAACTTTTTCCTTGTCAACTATTCCCTTTCTTCATTCTCCTTCTTACTATTATTCCCCCTCCCCCTTCTCTATTGTTTTACTAGTAATAAAGCTTTTTGAAGAAAACATAGAATATCTAAAACCTACAAACAATCCAGGTGTGTATCACCAGAGAATGACTATACACTTTATGATACATGTGACCCTGGGATACTGCTCAGCAATAAGAAGGACCTAATTACCAACATGTAACAATATGAACGAGCCTGGAAACATTCCTGGAGGAAGAAGCCACACACAATATAGTCACA